CGGTCCTAGCGCCGCCCCGGCCGGGCCCAGGGGGAGGTCCGCCCCCCCTTACCAGCTTGCCCCGGGGCGCCCCCATGCCCCTCTCCCTGCTAACCTGCACCGGGACTCTAAGCTTCCACTCTGCTCCCAGAGCCAGTCTCATGCACCTGTCTTGTCCTGGTCCTCAACCTAGTAGCACACCCCCTTCCTCAGCCTAAACCCACCAAGATTCCAGACCCTACCAAAGCCCAGGTTCATCCTTCTCTGCCTTCCCAAAATAATTGTTCCATTGAACCCCTTGATTCATTTAACTCCCGCTCAGCCTCACCCCATTCCCAGGTCCATCCCACCCTACATTAAATCCATTTTGGTCCTTACCCTGTCCCTGCCCCAATTCAGTTCCCCACCAAGCCAGGCCTGGGTTGTCAATAGCCCACTTCCTCTCTAAGGACCCCTCCTGGTCTACCACCATCACTTCCAGAGCCAGCTAAAGGCCCATGCTTAGCACGGCACACCTCCACCTATTCACCACATCCTCTAGCCATGCCGACCTGTCTGAACCCCACTCTTCCTAAACCTAGCCCTTCCTTCCATCCCTGCCAGTGACCTTGTCTCAGCTAGTCCCACCCAACCCTACCAGCCAATCATTTTCTTCCTCCTGGATGGGGTATCCAGGAAATCACATCTTCTTTTCCAAACTCCTTACCTCCGAAGGTACCCCAAGTATGGTCTCCAAGGCAGGCACCTCCGAAGCCACTCCAGAGTGAAATTTCTGGCACCTCTTATTTCCCAAAACTCTGAGCACAGAAAGGCCTGAGCCTCAGAGAAGTTCCTATGGGGAAGTGGAGGCACAGAGATGGTGGTAGTTTTCTGTGGGTCTCCCGGTTCTGATGGAATTAATCATCTATGCCCAGAAGCCAGAATGTACATTCACTACAATGTTTGGAATTGGACAGAGGTGAGGGGAGGCTTTAAAACCTCTGTGTTTCGCCAGACAGTGATGGCGCACACCTTTAACCCCATTACTTGGGAAGCAGAGGCAGGCAGATCTGTGAGTTCGAAGCCAGCCTGGTCTACCAAGCAAGTTCCAGGACAGCCAGGATTATTACACAGAGAAACCCCGTCTCAAGAAACCAAAAACGAACAAAAAACAAAACAAAAAACCCTCTGCATTTCACGGTCCCCTGCCTCAGGAGCACTGGGTGCCCACTGTACCCATGGACCCCTATCCTGGCAATTTCTCCACCACTCACACCTACAGTGAACCTCAGGAATGGTCAGTCCTGGGCCTTGGGCCCCGGATGCAGGTGGAAAGCAATGCTGAAGGCAGAAGGAGACAGTGATGGTCCAAGATGAAGAA